GTATACTTGAGATCGTATTATACACAAATAAATACAGTACTTGTTTTTTCAAAATGAAGCTACAACTTTCGTCTGCAAACAGTTTTGGAAACAGTTCACGTTAACTTCTGTAGTGTTTTTCTTGTAGCTAAATATCTGATTCCACTTGCAGATGCAAAGTCTAAAATCAGGTCATGTTTTGCTTCTCCTGTCACGTTTTCACGAGGAAGAGTTTAGAGTGATAACAGAAATTGGATTGATAATCAGAAGTGCAGAACTTTTTTTTTTCTGCTGACGTGGCTGCATGATGAAAATTGTGTCTTTCTTTTCTCTTGCCTCCCCCGCAAGAACCAGTTCCTTGCACAAACCACTGGTGCATTTTTGTTTCTCATGGGGAATGTGCCCAGTATTGTGTGATTCTTCTGAACTGTGTGTTTATATGGAAGAGTGGATGAACTACACAGCGCTCACTTCAGCTGGCTGAGGCTGTGAAAAAATACAGCCTTTACAACTGTTCAAGCAAATGTTATGACGTCTGTTGCATAGCTTTGTGTGTGTGTGAGTCTACTGTATGTAAATTATAAATAGTCAAATAAAGCTTATAAGAAAGATAGTCAAAGAACGTATGGAATGAGATAACATCCTTTTTGTGCACTGAGACTCAGGCGGCTCTGGTGTCTGTGCTGGCCAGAAAGGAATGCCCCTCATCTGGTAAGCGTAGGTCACCGCACCCTCTGTTGGAAATGGTTGCAGTCCCCTCTAATGACAAACTTGAAAAATAGCGCTTGTTCTCAGTTAACAACAAAAATACCAGCTCCTTCTTCTATTTTTTTCTCAACTAAACTGTTTTTGTGATCATTAGCAGCAAAAATTCAGAAATTTGAACTACAATTAATTGCACATTACCCAGGTATCACTGGGCTGCAACAGATGAAAACTGGTTGGCGATGCAAAATTGCACAATAGCCAATTTTTGTTGCATTCTCAATGAATTCTTTGTGTTTGTGACTAAGTGGCCAGTGAGCTGTGAGGCTGCCAGTTCTAGAAAGTAATGATCTATTTTTGCTTGCACGGCTTACCAAACTATTTTAGGTCGTTCACAATATTTCGTTGCCCACCTCCACCCACGTCATACTTTCCTCGGCTTCTTTGTACGCACATTGGTAGCTGCTTTATGATTTAATTTACTGGAGTACACTTTTGAACTCAAGACAGGCAGAACTGAACCAGTTCCTTTTCAGTCATTTCACTCAGTACAACACACAGTTGTATATGGAACACGCGCGCCCTCGCGTGCCTGGCTGAAGCCACCTCTAATCACGTCTTTAGACTGGTGACGTGGTGACGTTGAACGTCGGGTGACAGGCTCCGCCTTCACCCTATAAGTTTGGAGTCACCAGCGTCATTACTCAGTTCTATCGCCCTTCACCTCGCGATAGTCACCTCTAAACCTGAGCTCACATAGCTGCTTCTAGTTAGCTCAGCTTCTAAGGTTCTTAGGCTAGCTKTACTGGTGCTAACCGCGTTACCTGCTGGTTCGTGTGTCTGCCGCTCGACGCTACATAAGTGACCTTTATTTTCTGCTGAAAATCTGTTTTGTGGTTTACGATGGGCACAAAACCACCTTCGAAGAAGCTGAAGTCTTCTGTTCGCCCCTGTCCTCAGGGGTTCGGCTTTAAGCTTCATGAGAAGGACCAGCATGAGGCCTGCCCGGCCTGCCTAGGAATCATTCACGCTCGACGGGCGCTTGTGGAGCCCGAGTCCTGTCGGGCCTGTGCCGGACTTTCGCGTCCGACACTGGAGAGGAGAGTGAAATTCCTGGAGAAAATGCTGGGGGAAACTGCTGTTTTCCGACAAGACCCGCTGCTCTCTGAATCCAGCCAGACGGCTCAGTCCGATGAAGACGAGGATTCGGCGGTCGAAGCCCCCGCTGCTAGCTGGGCGGACCAGATGGAGCACGAGGCGGCCTTACCCGACATCGAGGGGGGCAAGACCCAGTTTCTACTGGATCTAAACCAAGAGGAGGATGATGTTCTGCAGATGGAGCAGGAGGTTCTCAGTCTGTCCGAAGACGACGAGGAGCCGTGCCCAGCTCACTCCACCCCCGCTGCTGAGAGGGTGGACCAGGACTCGTCCTTCTTGTCCCTGTGCCGCCGAGCTGCTGCTAAACTAGAGGTACAGTGGCCCGACCCCCCACCTGCTCAAAAGCCGTCGAGGTTCGCAGGGTTTTATCTCCTGTCTGAACCGGCTGATGTGAAGGACCGTCTGCCTATGTTTCCGGACTTTGTGTCGGAGCTGACGTCTTCCTGGAGCAAACCGCTGCCCATCCGCGCCTTCGTGCCTGGATAGGGTC